TCAATTTTTTCGAAATTCTATACAATCAAAATTTCAGTTCAATTGAATTATATCCATTTCTCTCGAAATATCTTCCATCGAAATGAATGAGTCTATTCATTAAATGACAAAGGAAAAAACCCACATGTTTTTTTTTATTCTTGTTATAAAGCGTCCTCTGTAGCCTTTATAAATTCTAATTGGTCAAAGTCCTCCATATTGTCTAAACGGGCAATTATACTTTGTTTTTCATTCGTTTCAATACAATAATCAAAGATTATTTCATCAAAACATGGCAAACGACGAACCAGGTAAATTGAATCATGTTTAATTAAATTTCTTATGTCAAAAACAAAAATATATTTTTTGTATTTAGAAAGAAATACTCGACGTTCATCTCGATCGCGTTCTCGAGATCGTAAATCTCGTCGTCATCGTGATCGTTCACGTGAAAAAGATAGTAAACGTCGACGATCACGTTCACCACATGATAATTATCGTAATAAACATAGTCGTTCACGTTCACCAAAAGATCGTTCAAAAAAAGAAAATAAAGCTGAAAAAAAACCTGTAAAAAAATATAAATATTGGGATGTACCACCAGTTGGTTTTGAACATATTACTCCTGTTCAATATAAAGCAATGCAAGGTATATTTTCAAAAAAAAAAAATAGAAACTTCTATTTAGATTGTTCTTTTTCTTTTCTATTTAGCATCTGGTCAAATTTCTCAAATTTTTACTGGAAAAGACTGGAGTGCTAATACAGCTGCAGCTACACCAGTACTTGGTAGTCATGTTGTACATCAATCACGTCGATTATATGTTGGAAATATTCCATTTGGTGTTTCAGAAGTATGAAAGAAAATGAGCACAATAAAAAGGTAAAATCGATCCACTAGTATTTTCATTGGTCAATTTCTTTGAATCGTATATTAATGAAATTATGAATTTGATAGTTCTTTAATGAGTTTTCAATCTCACATATAGAATTCATCAATTGATTGTTTAATTTAACGAGATATTGTTTAGCAAATATTTTAATTGGAAAAATTAAAATTTAGTGACGTGAAAAATTCTTTAATAGTTCAATTTGAGTCGAAGCTAATATGATATTCGGAATCAAAATAAAAAACTGAGTTAGTCCATATGCAATTTACAGAATTTCTGTAATTTTTTTTGTTTCGTCGAAAAATCCATCCCTTAGAGTTCAATCAAAATCTCATTTGGATAGTTGAAAAACGCTTGTCAAATAATAATAGAGCACAAAATGGCATTATGGTTGACTTCATTTTTTGAGGAGAACCTGAAGAGAATTTTTGTTTTGACGAAAAGTTACAGGAATTCTTTAAATCGCACATGAGCTAACTCAGTTTTTTATGTTGATTCCGAATATTGTATTAATTTTAATTCAAACAGAACTTTTTCTGATCGAATAGATGAAAAATCGAGCCTGAAGAATAATATGTTAAAAGATTTTTCAAGCGAACTATCAAATGAGCAAATATAAGAATTTTGATCAATTTGATTTTTGAATTAAAATATTGCCTGAATATGCTAACAGTGTCTTTCCGTTGATATATGATTCAATGAAATTCTCCAAGAAAAGTCCAAGTGGGCCGATTTGATCTTCTTATGCTTTTCTTTCTTTATTGTTAAAAAAGAGATTTTCATTGTCTTATTATTATTATTATTATAGAATGCAATGATGGAATTTTTCAATCAACAAATGCATTTAACTGGTTTATCTCAAACAGAAGGAAATCCAGTTATTGCTGTTCAAATAAATCTTGATAAAAATTTTGCTTTTCTTGAAGTAAATATTTCATTTAAATTTATGAATTTCAAAAAAAAAATAAAAAAAAATAAAAATTTAGTTTCGTTCAATTGATGAAACAACAGCTGCAATGGCATTTGATGGTATTGTTTTTCAAGGACAATCACTTAAAATTCGTCGACCAAGAGATTATCAACCAATGCCAGGTGGAGGAGATTTACCTAATTCAAATGTACCTGGTAAAATTTTTATTTGAAAAATTTTTATGAATAGATTATTGATTTCGTTTTTTTTTTCAGGACTTGTTTCTACTGTTGTGGCTGATTCACCATTTAAAGTCTTTATTGGTGGTTTACCAAATTATTTAAATGACGATCAGGTTAGTTCAGTAATTCTACTGATGAGAAATTTGGACCGTCGCGAAAATGATAAATCACTATCGAAAGTTAATCTTTGTTTTAATTCATCAATGAAAAATTTTCGATTTTAATGATAACACGAGGATTGTTGCCCGAATACTTGTTCGCAGTTCTAACTGACAGTCGTAAGAAACAAAATGTCGTGGTAGAAGGATTATAAAAATATCGAGAGATTCATCAATTGGATTGTTTTCTATTTATTTCAATGAGTATCATACTAAAGATGATATATTTAATACTAGTGTTTTCTAAATAGGATATTTTGAGTTTCGATTCGGATGATTTTAGGTTTAGAGAACTATTTCAGAATTTATTCGTCTTAAATAAAAAAAACAAAATCCCTCAAAAACGCATTTTTTTGCTTTATTGGTAAATGTTACTTGTTTTTTTATCATCATCTCTAAATTTTAATTGATATGATCTTTGAACAATTTTTTCTTTTATAATCTTACTGCATTGAGACTAAAATTAATTATAATAAGAGTACAATTTAACTTGAGTATCTGAAATAAATCAATCCTCTTCTTTTTGTTTCTCATTCTGTATTCTCAGATTCAATAAATTAAAATTTTTATTATAATCAATAATAAAGAATTCGATTGTTCTTTTTTTTTTCTTTTTTATTCGTGACGGTCCTAAATGACAAATTTTAGTGATGAGAAATAACAAAAAAAAACTGATTTTGTATATTGTTGTTCTAGACTAGGTCAGCGATGATGTATCGAGCGTTTGGTTAAAATAAAAATTCATCACGCTCATTATACATCTAGAACAACCAAATAATGGACTTATATATATATATACATATTTGTGTTTCCTGTGAGTTTCGATCATTTCCGATAAATTTAGAGTTTTATTTTTCTAGATAAAATAAGAAAAAATAAAATTTGATTTTTTTTCTTCTTCCCTAATTTTCATTTCTTTTCTATCGTAAAATTATGAATAAATCTTATTTTTAGGTCAAAGAATTATTAATGAGTTTTGGTCCATTAAAAGCATTTAATTTAGTTAAAGATGCCGCAACAGGTCTATCTAAAGGATATGCTTTTTGTGAATATGTTGACGCTAGTGTAACTGAAGCAGCTATTCAAGGTCTTAATGGTATGCAATTAGGAGATAAAAAATTAATCGTACAATTAGCAAGTGTTGGAGCGAAAAATATGCCTGGAGTAAGTTATTTATTATAATAAAATTTTAACAAAAAAATAAAAAAAATATTTTCATAGATGCCCGGTGCTATCGGTGTTCAATTACCAGGTGTTAATTTATTAGCACCAAGTGTAACCACAGAAGTTTTATGTTTATTAAATATGGTTACAGAAGATGAATTACGTGATGATGAAGAATATGAAGGTAAAGATTTATTATCATTGACTTTTTTTAATATTAAAGTTTTTTTGTTTTGTTTTTGTTTTAATAGATATTATGGAAGATGTACGAGAAGAATGTGGTAAATATGGATTTGTTAAAAGTCTTGAAATTCCTCGACCAATTCAAGGTGTTGATGTACCTGGTGTTGGAAAGGTAAACTTTTAAAAAACCAAGAAAATTATTTTTTAAATTAACAAAAAAAAACCAACATTTTCTTTTTCTTCATATATAGATTTTTGTTGAATTTACTTCAATAAGTGAATGTCAGAAAGCTCAACAAGCTTTGACAGGACGAAAATTTGCAAATCGTGTTGTTGTCACATCATATTATGAACCGGATCGATATCATCGACGTGAATTCTAATGCTTTCTTTCTTTCTTTCTTTCTTTCTTTTTTTGTCTGTGTATTATTGTGTCTTATGAAACCAATACATTTGTTGTTATTTAAAAGACAAAAAAAAAAATGTTTGCCCTCGGAATGATAAACTAATTAGTTTTTTTTTTCATTCTTAATTGAACATTCATGTAATTTTACTTATTACAAAAAAAAAAAAGAGAAGCCCTTGTAGGCAGCCAAAAAAATATAATTTATGATGTCTAGATGATTATTTTTTTATTCAATGGTCTTGAGTATGACATCATCTAGCCTTCTACTACAGACAAGTTTTATTTACACAAGGTCAAAAAGTATCTCACATTAAGGGACGAAATTTATGCAGACATATTTAAAGGTACGTCTATTACAACATATAGTAATGAAACGAATAAAAAAACACAAAACGACACACCTATTATAAAAAAAAAAAAAGAAGAAAGAAAAAATTACCAATAACTATATAGACAGCTAAGAAATAACTTCTCTTTTTTGTCTCTATTACAATTGCTGTTAGACAGTGATGATGTAAGAATAGAAAAAAACGTATACCAATTAGAAAAAAATTTTCTATAAACAGTTATGGGTGGAAAATTAGGTAAAAAAAAAACTAAATTTCCACCGTCCGATGATCCTTTCTACCAAATGGGACCTCCAGGTGCCTATGGTGCGCCACCTCCATATCCTTATCCTCCACGTTATGGGCCAGGTGGTCGCTATGGTGATGATCCTTATGATGCATATGGATATGGTCCCAAATATCCACCAACAGATTCCTTTGACGATTTATATGGTGGACCAATGCAAGGACGAGGTTGTTTGGGTGGTCCATTTGGTCGGGGTAAGTTTCATTTAAAAAAAAAAAAAAAAGAAAAATTATATGTACGATTGATTTCAAATTTCAGGTATGTCTCCTTGGAATTATGGTAATTATTATATGGGCAATACTTCATTGCAAATGATACCATTTATGCAAAAAACATTATCTAAAATTTCACAATTGCAAGCAATTCTTGGAATGGGTGGTGGAATGATGCCTTGTCTTCCATCATCATGTTGTATGCCTTGTCCTCCATCATCATGTTGTATGCCTATGTGTCCTCCATCATCATGTTGTATGCCTATGTGTTCTCCAATGATAGCAGCTGCTACTCCATTACCTATAACATGTAATCCACTTATTCAATCTATGTGTCCAATGCCACCAACAAATTGTTGTAATTGGATGAGTCCATCATCATTCATGTCAGCATTATCATCAGGTCCTATGGCTTGTCGACCACCAGCATCATTTCAATTTCCAAGTAATGTTGGTATGGTAATGCCACTTCCTTGGGGTACACCAAATCCTTTACTTACACCATCATCATTTGGTGGTTTTTCTCCACAATATAATGGCAATGGTGGATTATCATGTTGTTGTTATTATTGTATACCACCACCACCTCCACCTCCGCCTCCAATTACTTATTATCCACGTCCAGTATGTGTTCCACAACCATATCCAGTTCCATGTCCAGCTCCAGTACCAATTCCTAATGTTCAACAAATACCAGTTCCACGATGTGTATCTGTTGTTGCACCACCTATAGTAGCTGATTGTAATCCATGTTGTCCTGTACCAACTGGAGCTCCATTAATACCATCACAAGGTGTTGTAACACTAGGTACACTTGGTCAATCATTAGTTATGAGATCAAATACAATCTCAACTGATCAAAGATTATTTAATGATGAAACGCGTCGAAAACCTATTCGTAAAACTTTTGATCAATCTCGTCGTGCAAAAGCTGAACGAATTGCTGCTAGTTTATCTAATCTTGGATTAGGTAATACTATATTAGATAGAAATAATAGTTTAAATGAATTTAAATATCGAATTAAATCAACTCGTAATGTTCCTATTCGTTCACGTAAAGATTTTTCTTTAGTTTCAAAATCAAATGATGAATATATATCGGATTCAAATTTAACAACATTAGATACATTATTTTCTTTATCAAATAAATCAAAACAAAAACAATATAATAAATCTAAACATTATTCTCATTCAAATCGTCATAGAAATTGATCAATGTATGATTATGATTGTCTAGCTTGTAAATAAGAACAACAACAACAACAATATATGAACAAATTTACATTGTTCTTATTAAATAATGAATGATGCTTTCTTATCTCGTAACATCATTTTACGAAAAAAAATAAACAGTTTTAGACTAATTACACGTCGGTTTTTTTTTCTACTTCTTCCTGTTTTTTTTTTTTATTAGTTTTACTCACTTTTAATAACAATAATAAAAATACAAAAGAAACAAAAAAAAAAGACTTTTATTGAAAACATTGCAATGAACAACGATAATATTCTGTTGAACAAATATCATATTCATTTGAAGGAAATAATATTGTTTTATTTTCATATAAATAATTCAAAAAATGTTGAATACGTCCTAATAATAAACCAAATTCATCTCGATTTGTATTTGCACTCATATCACGTAATAAATCTTTAATACGCCATAAAAATCTTAATAAATGTATTGAACCATAATAATCACATAATGATATATGAGAATATTTTTCTAATAATTGTCGTAATTGTAAACGTTCAAAACGATAAAGTAAACATTTTCCAAGTGCTATATTAAACATATCAATTAATGATGATATTAATGTTTTTATAGCAAGTACTTCAGCTAATGAACATTCATTGATTTGTTGTTCTAAATAATTTTTAAATATATTACGTATAATTAATGATGAATCTATTGGTGGAATTGAAAGAAGATTATTTTGATTATTTATAAGATCACGATCATTTATTAATAATTCAACAAGTTCAGATGGAAATTGTAACCATTCCATTTGATATGAATAAAAACGACGAGTTAAATGTTGACATATTTCATGTTGAGCTGAGATCAATGGTGATAAATCATTAACAATAGTTGATATTGGTTCAGATTCTAAATACAAGGAAAACAAACATTTTTTCTTTTTAAATCATAAATTTTATGATAAGATCTTAAGACTTTTTTGAAATGTAAAATTAATAGTCCATAGTTCAAAATGTACAATAGGCAAATATGACGAAAGTCTTGAACCTTAGTAGTCACCAAAGGTTCTGCAAAGATCTAAAGTTGAAGCTTTTTGCGATTATCAGGGTTAGGTAAGGTCTGATCCAAGGTCGATCGACCTTAAGACATCCGTTTTCGAATAAAAACACTGTTGTTTTTCTTGAGCTTTTTATTTTGGTATTATTTCTAGATATTAATATTCATTCTTTTATTGATAACTAAAACTCCACATGTCTTTACTGTGTCATAAATCTACTGTGATCCTGAGACGCAGCTACATTTCGATTATCTAGGATGGTCTTCGCACACACCTCCGCTTTACCAACGACTATAATCATGGATACTTAATTACAGCAGACAACTCACTAGAGAAAATTTCAATGGAAATGGTTTCCTTTTTGACGGATTCCATAAACTCTCATACCAAAAATTCCTAAAATCCACTAAACAATAATCGTTTAACACGAAATTTTTTATCCGCAATGGAAGCAACACTGAGGTGTAGCACGACACATCAAACGCTATGAGATATTTTACTAATATTGAAATATTCTCATTTGAATGAAAAAAATCTATGTTAGCGTTCTACTCCTGAAAATGAAAGCCACTGAGGATTTCACATATAGATACTTTTTAGTTGATATCGGGACTTTTGATGGCCATTGTATATGAAAAATTTGTTTTATTAATTAAATTCTTTGAATATTATTCAATAATCTTAAGCTCTATGATTTTTACTAATGCAGAGAGATTTATGAAAACAAAAACAAAAAAAAAACTATAAAAATCTTACTTTTATCTTTATTTGTTATTTTTCCAGTAGTATTTACACTTCGTTTTAATTTTTTTGTATCAGGTTCAATTAAATCATTATTTGTAATATTTGAATCTGTATTTGATATTAATTCACTTGTTGTACTACTGCTACTACTTCCTGTATCACTTCGTCCAGATAATGATGGTGTTTCTTCTATAGGAAAATGATTATTATTATTATTATTATTATTCATATTTGTTGTTGTTGTTGTTTCATTTATAATTGAATCCATATTTGTACTTGTTGAATAATCCGATATCGATCGACTTGTTGTTCGTTTTGATGGACTTGTACTATTATTTTTTCGTAAATTTTTTAACCGAGCTTTACCTTTACCATGTTGAAGAAGTAATTGTGCTTGTTGTTTTAAACCATTTTCATCCATTTTAACAAGACGTGCTTCATCAACCCATTCATCCCATTTTGAACTCCAACCACAATAATGTACTAAATATGATGGACGATGAAAATTTCCACTATCATTTTCTTTCATTTTATGATCAACACATTTAACTTCATATAAAAGTAAACCATGATAACAAAGCATAATTTCATTTTTTTTAAAACGATATTGTGTTGATGATAATTCATTATCAATTTGTAAAACATCAATTATTGGTCCAAGTGTTTGATTATTATATTCTTCTTCTTCTTCATCACCATCATCAATTATTTCTTCATCATCTGACATGATGTTGGTTTTTTTTTGTTTTTCTTTTTTTTAAGAGAAAAAAACAACAGTCTACAAAACAAAACAAAAAAAGAAAACTATCCAATATAATCAAAAACTACTAGACGATATAATATTTATATTTTTTTCTTTTGTCTTAAACCCATAAGAAATCTTTAATCTCAATTAGTCTAATAAATCTAAATTAATCAAAAGAAAATAAATAACAAGTAAATAAAATTATTTCTTTGATATAAATTAAATCAATCTAATAATCATATTAATATTACATAAGTATAATATTTAAAAGTTACAATAGAAATAATTTTTTTCTTATATAAAATCTATTGATTAATTATTCAATATTGTTGAAATAATTAAATTCATTTTGTTAGTACTAGAAGAAAAAAAACAAAAAAAATATGAAATAAACTTACTTTTACAAATTCGATTAAGAATAATCAAAAATAAATTTTGTCTAATTTTCGATAGTCAGTTTTTATTTTAGATCAAGAATAACATTTAACAAAAATTTTTGATAGCTAATTTCAACTAAGAAAGAAAAAGAAACGAATGATCATTATTCTATTAATATTCAATAAATGTAAAGCGCCACATTCTTTCTTTTTGACTAAACAAACAGTTGCGCTCAATTTATGCATGGTCAAATGATATCACAGACAGTGTCAAATTAAAAAATTTCAGTATAGCGTGAAAGCTGCTCGTCGTGAATGTCTATTTAGAAAGAGTATAGTCTTTGTTTAAGAATATTACGTTCAATTCTCATAACATACTAGTTTATTTTTCGAACAAAGATATCCTTAGGTATATAAGATAAGGTTTTTTTTTAGTAGCTGAAATAATATTTCTTTATTTACTTGATTCATCTTTATCACATCTGAAAGCATGTCATTCGGTAAAGTACAACGTTTTTTTTGATCTAACTTGAGTTCAAACTATTCTTCTTATAAATCTTATTGAAACAAATTTAATGCGATCTACAAAATCTAGTTGTTGTTTTTCTTCTGTGAAATGTTGCTTCTTCGTAATGAAAGATCCAAGCTACTATAGAAGCCTTTTATTAAAAAATAAGACTTGATATTTGTTTGACTTGTTTTTTTTGTATTAGATATTAATTTTCGTTGAATTTAGATTTTGCTTTCGTTTTATTATAGGTATAATTTTGTCATGAAATAAAATATTGGTAATTAATGTAAAGGTATTTCTGTATTTGAACATTTGATTGAGAGTTCTTTGTTGTTATTTGTTTTTTTGACTCCAAAGAGCTGTTTATAAACCAGGAGTATTTATTCCAATCATTATCAATTTGTCAATCAATATCTCTAAAAACATACAACAATAATTATTTGAAATAATCTGCTTTTTTTCATTTGATTTCTATCCGAAAGGAACAAAGATTGATTACGGGTTTTTGGCACTCATTCATAAAAGTCTCAAAACATCAATTAGTAGTTATTAAAATGTCGACTCATCAGCGTTGGAACCGGTACCGGACCGGCTTAAGTTTAAAAAATATTATCTTTACTTAGCTCTTATTCGGTAAGAAGAACTATGTATTTTGCTATGAAGTAGAACAAATTTTCCATCATTATACATATATGTCCAGAAAGTCTTTCGATAGTGTCAATATTAAAAATTTTGTTCAGTTCATAATCGATATTTATCGCAATGATTGTAATACTATGATAGACACGAAGACAATTAGGCATATGTTTAATCAGTTTTGAAATAGACCAGGCAGTACTATATAAATCAGTTAGGAAAATCTTAATATTCTTTTGAAAAAATGATGATGCTTCATGATTATAAAGATTATGCATATCTTTTCTAAAAGCTTCATAAAAAGTCAAATAATATTTTCTCAAGTATGAATATTGAAATTTTCTAAGATATGCTTATAAAAAAAACTATTCCTAGATCGATTTCAGTTTTCTGTACTTATGATACGAGAAGCTAAATCATATTGTTTCAACCGTGTTATTTAAATATTAGATAATTCAATTTACAACTAGACATAACTTTATCAAGTTCTATCGTACTTTCGGATGTTTGGAACCATTTTAAAGCGGTAAGCTTGACCGG